TTGGATTGCATGATGTAGGTAGTAATGGAAATTTTTACTTATGTGTTCTAAGTGGTACTAAATGTGCTACAAATTGGATTTAGGTGAACCGATAGAATCCTGAAATTTGGAATTAAGATTGGGGTATGTGGGAAGTGTTGGAAATTCGTACTTATGATTGTTAACGTAGGTAGTTATGGAAATTTATATTAATGTGCACTAACTGATACTCAATTTGGATTTGGTGAAGCTATATTATTTTTTTTAATAAGTATTACAAGAGTACAAATGGTAAAAAAATTACATCAAATTTAGAATAGAGGTAGATTTCTGTTGTGGTCGGAATGGGTGTGTAGGGTTGAGATATATAGGTAAATTTGAGAACATACTATGGCAGAACATACGTTCTAAATGGTTCTAAAATTTTAATAAGGGTCGATATAGGGCTTTAAATACATCCCACATTCGCTAACGAAGTAGCGGGTATATGCTAGTAATAAATAAATAAATAGTAGTCAATATTGTGGGTCTTCGAATACAGCCAATCATGGAATCATCATGGAAGAATCACTCAAAGCAAACGATCGCCTTTTTTGAGGGAACCGGTCAAGTAGGGAATGTTCCGCTGACAAAACAGGAGGGATAGTTCTAAGTGGTGTACCGCAATTTCTATTGCCAAAAAATTTTAAAGAAATTCGAGAAACTAATTTTTGACCGGTCATCACGTGGAATTGATGGGTTATCTGCCGTTCAGGCCTGTGAAGCATATTTTGGTTTGTCTCAATCAAGCTCGAAAAAGCACTTTGACAATTAGTATGGTATTATAAAAAAGTATATAAACAAAAAAAAAACTTAAAAACGATCTAAAAAAGACGTGGACATTTTCTAGACCCATTCCCATACGCTATGCAAAATTTCGCTTCAACCAGGCAAACTTTAAGTGCACCATTTCCACCAAGTCTGAGTATTTAAAACATTTTGTTAATAGGCCTAAAAGAAAATATAAGAAAATGTATATGGAAGATCTATTAGGTTGGGGAAAACGAAATTCTTTAGACCGGTTCTCGAAAATGTCGATAAAATCGTAGAAATGATTGAGGTTGACCGGCGTGTTAGCGGTCGTAACATCGCTCAGGAGCTAAAAATCGACCATAAAACTGTTTTAAACCATTTACACAAAGCTGGATTCAAAAAGAAGCTCGATGCTCGATGAAATCGATTGGGTTATTAGTTTTTGAGTTATCGTGGCCGCCATCGCAAAAAATGTTTAGAGAAAAACGCGTTTAAAGTTTGAGAAGCCCTTCAGCCGTCACTTGATGCTGACACAATAAATCGGCTATAACTTCAAGAGTTCTTGAGATTTTCACTTGAAATTTCGTAGGGGCATTCATTAATTAGTGTAGATTCGAAATATATCGACACAATTTTTGACCCCGAGAATGGGGGGGGGGGTCCCCTTAAAAGAAAAAATAGGATGGATCGAATATCAATCTGCGAAGCCTTGGCCAAATGGAATGAGATAGACTCATTTCTTAAACGGATGGTGACTGGAGGTGAGAAACGGAACACATACGATAACCTTGTGCGAAAACGATCGTGGTAAAAAAGGCGGTGAAGCACCTTAAACGATGGCCAAACCAGTACTAACGGCCAGGAAGGTTCTTCTATGCATTTGGTTGGACTGGAAGGGGATTATTTATTATGAGTTGGTTCCATGTGGCTTAATTCTGATCTCTGGACCGTTTGAAGATAGTAATTGACCAGAAAAGACCAAAGAGAGAGGTGTCGTCTTCCACCAGGACAACCCTAGTCCACACACATCTACAGTGACTCGTCAGAAACTTCGGGAGGTTGGTTGGGAAGTTTTAATGCATCCGCCATACAGTCCGGACTTGGCACCAAACGATTATCATGTTTTTCTTGCATTGCAAAATTTCTTTAATGATAAAAATTTGGTATCTAGGGAAAATTGTGAAAATCGACTAGAGTTTTTTTGCAAATAGAGAGCAAGACTTTTTTGAATTCACGAGAACTGCAATTTTTTCAAAAACAAAAAAAGTTCAACCGACGACGGAAGTACGCAAATGCCCAACTCCGATTTCAACCCTAGTTTCTATGTCATATTAAATGATAACCGGCAGCTTAGGGCTATCTAATTAACTTCTGTAGGCTGCAAAAATGAAAAAAAGTCCATTACTGCAAGAAAAATCTGCTCTTATATTTTGCAAAAACTTCGATATAAATAACAATTACCAACATACAGAGCAAAAAAAATTGTATACTTATGAATATTTTCAGAATTTCATTCATAGTTATTTTTTTATATTTCTCGCTTAGAATACCATTCAAAATTATTCTAATCACAAGAAAGACACTAATTTATCCAAAAAATTTAAACATTTCATTAATATCGCAACTATTTTTCGTACTTCGATTTACTTTACCACTAGTTTTGCATTCCATTGTTCATTTATTTCAGACACTCTTACTGACCTCTGCATTGGTGTTACAAAATTCGCATATGCATTTTCCAAATTATTTCAAGAGACTGAGATGGCTTAATTATACCCTTCACCACACTGTGGTACAGGGTATTATGTCTTTGTGCATATGTTTGTAACAGGCAAAAGGAATCGAGATAGACCCATAGTTACTTTTGAGAAAATGCATAGAATCACTTTCTGAGTCGATTTACGCATGTAATGTCTGCCAAGTTTCGTAAAAATCGGTCCAGATTTAGATATAGCTCCCATATATAGTCTCGTCCGATTTTATGTAAATGGTGCACCAAAGTCCATATATATCGTTCGATTTGCACGAAATTTGGCACAGCGTAATGAATTATGCCTAGAATGATGTCTGCCAAATTTCCTGAAAATCGGTCCAGATTTAGATATAGCTCCCATATATAGTTTCGTCCGATTTTATGTAAGTGATGTACCAAAGTCCCTATATATATTTCGATTTGCACGAAATTTGGCATAACGTACTTAATAGAGCCTAGAGTGCTTTATGCCAAGTTTCCTGGAATGATGTGTGCTGAGTTTCGTGAAAATCGGTTCAGATTAAGATATATATATATATATATATATATATTTCCGTCAGATTTAATGTAAATAATGTACCAAAGTTCTAATATTGCATAGATCGATTGATTTTAAGTAATTGACACACCAAGGAACCAATATATGATTGAAAGAACAAAACGTACTGAAATTAGTATAACCCAACCTGTGAAAAGTTTCGTTGAAATCGGTTCAAATTTGGATATAGATTCCACATATATTTTCATTTGGCCTAGCGTGCTGAATTGCGTCTATAATAATGTATGCCAAGTTTCATGAAAATCGGTTCAGATGTATATAAAGCTCCCATATATATATATATAGTCGCCCGATTTTAGGTAAATGGTGCACCAAAGTCTTCGAAAATCGCTCCATTTGCACGAAATTTGTCATAGCGTACTGAATTAAGTTTAGAATGACGTGAGCTAAATTTCGTGAAAATCGGTTCAGATTTAAATGTAGCTCCCATTCGTCCGGTTTTATGTAATTGGTGCATCGATAGGATACGTCTTAGGATACATCTGTTGAATATACCCAAAGTGGTGAAGGGTATCATATAGTCGGCCCAGTCCGACTTTACTACTTTCCTTACTGGTTTTTTATTGTCGACTAATGGTACAATTACTTTAAAAACGTATCAGACTTTTTGGATATCTAAGTATAAAATTATCAATACAAGTTATTTTTTTAAAGATCCCATATACACATTTTCCAACAAAATAGGCTGCTATTTGACATTCCAGATTCAGAGAAAAGAAAATACTTATTTACAAAAAATGTTCAATATAGGTAAATACGTACAAAGAGTATCGCTTAATTTTTGCTTTGTTAGTCGTTAGTTTGGTTTTTAATTGTCTATGAGTTTAACCAATCTACTAGCAGACTATTTACAATGACATTATCTACATATAAAAATCCCAATTTTTTAAGAAATGTTTAATGAACTCCGCATATTTAAGGATAAAAAAATTGGTCGTGCCGAACTGCACACCATTTGTCTTTGTTCAATTTTCTAGTGAAAATTTAATCTCCCCCAAATGGAAACAAATGTCCCATATCCAATTCTATCAACAACAAAATTAATTATTAATATAAAACCAAACTTTATAAAAACAAATATACATATGTAGAAAATTAATTAAACAATATTTAACGACAGAATTGAGTTTTCCATATTATTATTGTTGTTATTGTGTTAACAACCATTTTTTGTATGTATGTATAGATAGATGTTTGCTACAAGAATATTCTAATGACTTATTTTAAAATGATGTCGGTTTTTAGTTTTTCTAACTTCTTAATAACTAGAGAAACTAATATTCTTTGCTATACGATATTATTTTAATGATTTTTTTTATTTTACACTGATTTTTGTTGGGAGTATATTTTATTGGGTTTCGGATTTATCATTTCTTTACTTATTTCCTTTAGACTTATATTTTAAAAATAGGATTTTTTTCTTGCTCTGTTTGTCTATGATTTAGTTTTTTTTTCAATTTGATTATTCTTTTAAATAAATGTGTTTTTGTTTTTATAATTTATTTTTTGATTTTTGTTTTCGTTATGGAAATTAGTTTAAAAAAAATATTATAAATAATAATACGAACTAGAATAGTAACAGTTTAGTTTAATAGTTGTTTTATTTTGATTTAAATGATTAACTAATATTTTATGTATAAAAATCATCACTCTTTAGTCACAGTAGAAATAGAATTTAAAGAGAAATAGACGTAGAAGAAGAAAATAATTTCAAAATACTCCATTTTTGTTGCTTATTTGATTGTAATTTATTTTATTTTTTTCTTGTCATGTTGTGTCATTCTCTTATTTGGTACTGCTCTTTGGTTTAGTTTGCCTCTCTTCTTGTTGTCCCTTTGTGGATTTCTAAGAATTTCTGGTTCTCTTTTTGTTGTCTTTCTATATTACGTTGAGGTTCTCTGAGTGAGGGAGCTCTCAATACACCTAATTTCAGAGAAAACTTTCCCTTGCCCCATGCCGCTCATCGCCCAACATGACACGCTGTGACGGCGGCTCTCCATACTGATCCTGATAGTAATTCTCACGCATCATGGTATTCAAACTGGAACATCTAAAGTACAATATCTCCTGGAAAGGTTTACGGAAGTCTCGATTCAGTGTGGCATAGATAATCGGATTGAGCAATGAATTGGCATAGCCCAGCCATAGGAACAACGAAGACAGTGATTGTGGCACATGGGTGGTTTCCGATTCCACAAATGGCCGTATTAGTGCTAGAATGAAGAATGGCAGCCAACAAATGGTAAATGCGGACATGATGATGCCCAGGGTGGTGGAGGCCTTTTTCTCTTTGGCCAGCTGGAAACGTAATTTCTTTTGATGCGGTGAACCCAACAGGCCACTCGAGCCGCTGCCACCACCGCCTCCGTGGCCACCATGGCCACTGTGATGCCCACTGGTCGAGAGACCACCACATGTGGAATAATTTAACGATGTATTGCCATAGCTACTGTGACGATGCTGCTGTTGGTGGTGGCCGTGTGCCTCCAGGTCGGTGTGGCCCGGCGGCGACCCCGTGCCATTGAGGGCATGCTGCAGGTGTGTTTGTGCCCGCTTCTCCTCCAACACAATGCGCCTGGCTGCCCGAAATATCTGATAGTAGACAAAGAGCATTACGGCCAGTGGTATGTAAAAGGAACCCAACGTTGCATAAATTTGATATGCAAAATTCTGACACACCGAACACATGGGATTACCGTGTTCGTCTTCGTGTTCATTGCCCAGTATGAGCAGCGGTGGCAATGAGATGCAGGCGGCAGCCAACCACACCAGCGCCACACACAACATCATGCGGCGCGGTGTCCGTTTAACCCCATACTCCAGGGGCTTTGTAATGGCCAAATAGCGATCCACTGAAATGGCACACAAATTGAGGATGGATGCCGTGCAGCAGAGGACATCGAATGATACCCAAATATCGCATAAGACCGGCCCGAAACTCCACTTTTCCAAAATCTCATAGAGCAAGGCCATGGGCATAACGAGCACGGCCACACAGAGATCAGAGAGAGCCAGCGAGACCAATAAATAATTACAAGGACGTCGTAGTTTGCGGACCATGCACACGGCAATACAGACGAGGACATTGCCAACAATTGTGCCGAGGATGACGAAGAGGAGTATTATGCTAACCAGCACCGTGTGGAAAGCAGGTGTTGTAAATCCAACAAGGGTGGTGGGCAATGACGACGAGGAGGGCAGGGATGTTGAGTCTGAATCGAATTCCACGGCAATGGCGGCGGCAGATGATGAAAAGGACAATGAGGCTGATGACTGGGTAGGTGATGACAACAATGGAGGCCATTGTGTGTCATTTGTTGTTGTTGCTGCCACTGCCAATGTAGATAAAGTAGAGGTAATGGTACTATAGGTAGACACTGGGCTGTTGTCCGATGTGGTAAACATGTTGCTAATACTGTGTTGGTTTCTATGATGATTTTTGTTGTTGGTGGAGTGTTGTGAAGTCGATGAGGAGGAGGCGGAGACAGACATGCCATCATTAGTTTGTGTGCTTGCTGCTGCTCCTGTGGCATGTAAACTACTGCTATTGTGTCCCAGCCCCTCCGAATCCCTATTGTGACCATTGGATTCCGGGGCAGCTGCCGCCACCTCAAATATCAACGCTTGTATGGGCAGCTGTAATACCGTTGATGTCCGATTGCCAAAATTACTTTGGCCGTTTGTTTCGGCTTCGGCCAAAATCAAAGAGGCCGAACCCACTTGAAACCAGCAATCACTTAGGCTTAGCAGAAACAGCAGATAGAATAATGTTCTCAGCAGTGACAACATAAAATGTTTCAACTTTTGTGATATCCGTTTCCAAGGGCAGGATTTCCGGCGATGATAGCGTTGAAATTTAAAATTATCATTGACCAGGGATGGGGAGGATGATGATGAAGAGCAGGAGGAGGAGGATGCGGATGATTGTGCATTTTTAGTTGTTGAGCTGGAGCGGTATGAAGTGGCGGAGGCCGATGACGATAGTTCACACATAGAAGCTGTAGTATAGTGGTGGTGGTTGTTGTTTTTGTTACTATTGTTTTTATTATAGAGAGCATTTTTGTTGTTGTTATTATTATTGTTGCTGGCATAGAACCAACTAGGAGCATTTATAGGAATTCTGAAATTGTTAATAAAATATTCAGCGTTTTTAGAGTCTAAAGGATCCATATGATATATCTATGTATTTGTTGTTGTTGTTGATTTGACTTAACTATGTTTTTTTTATTAAAAAGAGGAGTTTTGTATTCTCTCTTTCTTCCACGGAGGTTTCTCTTAAGAGTGCTTCTAACAAACAAAAATATATTTCGTTTATTGTTGATATTTCTTTGGTTAATTGCTTTGTTTTCGGTGAGAGAGAGACTTAAATTACATATCCATTGTCTATAACTGTACTCTCTTTGCATCAAACATCAGCCATTCTCTTATCAAAATGTCTTTGGTCCTCTAACAGTTCTCTTGGCAGCAGATGTCTTCGATATCTTTTGTGAGTATCTTTTTGATAAATAATTACAATTTCTTTGCCAAATGCTGTGTGTAAATCCATTTATTTTCGTGTTTTAAAGATTTAAATCCAGACAACTGTTCTCCTTTTGTAATGTAATGGTAACTCACTCTCTCTCTATCGCTATTTTCCGAAACCAACAGAGTTCTTTGTATTAGTATAACCTTTTATTTTTTACACGTCAACATGTTCTTTGGTTCCTTCTTGATTGACGCTTGTTTCTTCTTTCTTTCTTTGTTATCTTCACTCTCTTGTTTCCCCTCTCTTTCTTCTGCACAGAGGTTTAATTGTCATTTATCATAATTCTACTCTTTATGTTTCACTATTCATGTTCTCATGTGACATGTCTGTCATTCACTTGTTTGTTGGTTGTTCTTCGTTCGCTTGTTTGTTACTTCGTTCATTCATTCAATCGGTCGGTCGGTTGGTCGTTCGTTTATGTTTTGTTTTGGTCCATTCACTTGTTTTCTTCCAAAAGCAGCATCAACATGACATGTCCTTTCATGCAGAGATGGCTCTTCCATTTATCAGTGTCGTTCGTTCGTCGTGGTCGTTGTACTGTCTTCTATGCCTTCTATGTGTGTATTTGTAACAGCAGCGGTAGCCTGTTATTGTGTCGCTTGTTTGTTGTTATTGTTCATGTATTCTCTTTCCTTTATTGGGCCAACTAACCAGCAATGTAATTTGTTTTGTAAGAATGAGGGGTGTTTTCTTAAGGTTGTATGTAGTTTTACTTGTTTGTCGTTTTTACGAAAAAATATTATTTTTTTTACGATATTAAAGAGAGTATATTTCAGGTGTATTTTGTTTCGTATTGAATGAAAATCTTGTTCCTTTTGTTGCTTGAAACCGTTTGATGGAAACACTAGAGTGATTGTCCAAATTCTGTAAAGAAATAAAGGAGAGGAAAAAAAATATTATATTTATTATTTTCAGTAAAAGAAAGTATTTTTTAAATTTAAGAAAACAATTTTTAATTAATTGAAAATATTAAAAAAAATAGGAATGCTCACAAAATTGCTGAGTTTATTTTCATAGAAGAGCTTAAGGACTTCTTTGCCATAGAAGAGCTGGAGACTGAGTTGATCTAGTCATGTGGGAAATGGAATGGGATTATTTATTATGAGTTGCTTCCATATGGTCAAACGCTAAATTCTGATCTCTACTATCAACAACTGGACCGTTTGAAGATATAAATTGACCAGGAACGGCCAACATCCACAGTCACTCGTCAGAAACTTTGGGAGCTTGGTTGGGAAGTTTAAATGCATCCGCCGTACAGTCCGGACTTGGCACCAAGCGATTATCATATTTATCTTCCATTGCAAAATTTCTTTAATGAAAGTCGGACGGGGCCTACTATATGATACACTTTACCACTTTGGAAATATTCAAGAAATACACCCTTACAGACCTTGAATTTTTGAAGGACCATTGACATGAAATTCGACTAAGTTAAATATGTGATCTGTGTCTATATGTGAACCGACTTAACCCAATGATCAATAACCGGGTATATTTGTATAAAGTATATATATATTCTTGATCAGTGTAAAATTATGCAGGTCCGTCTTTCTGTTGTAATCACTCTAGCATCTAAACAAATTGACATAGATCGCCAAAATTTTGCATAAAGTTGTCTCTTGTATGCAGGTCCGAAGATGAGCTTTATCGGACAACGTACCAAATGTCTCCACTAAAAATTATTATTATAGGTCCACTATTTCGGGTAGCCCCCATATAACGGTTAACGCAGACCCATTTCGATACATAAATCTGAACTGATTACAATAAAAGTTAGCACACGTTAGTTTATCCTAACTTCGGTACGTTGTGCAAAATTTCATGTCAATCGGCCTAAATTTGACTCTTTGGTGCACTATTTGCTAAAAATCGGACGAATATAGCATTTCCACATTAAATGAAACCTTTTACAAATTAAATGAACCCTTTTCCAAATTAAATGAAACCTTTTCCAAATTAAATGAAACCTTTTCCAAATTAAATGAAACCTTTTCCAAATTAAATGAAACCTTTTCCAATTGAAATGAAACCTTTTACAAATAGAATGAAACCTTTTCCAATTGAAATGAAACCTTTTACAAATAGAATGAAACTTTTTCCAAATTAAATGAAACCTTTATTCTTATCTAAGGAAATATAATATTTGCAGTAATTTTAAACCAATATTTGAAAATTAAATCAAAGAATATTAACAACTATAGTTGTATGGCTATGTAATTAACATAAATATTCTTTAATTCGGTGTGATTTCATTTAATATCGTTACTACATAAAACTAAATAAATAGTAATACAAACTGGGCTATTTCTTGACATATTAATAAATAAATATTTAAGAACAAGAATTGAATACCCGGTCCTAAATGCGAAATACATATTTGACTTAATAAATTGTTGATGATAAGGTAACTGCTTATCTTAATGAAGGGGTTCCCGACTTGCAGCTTGTGGGATTTTCAAAACCATGTCCATAACGTAGTTAGAACAATCTTGCCGAGTAAGCTTTTGAATACTTTGCTCGATTACATCAACAATGTTATGTTCCATTGAAACGTCACACAGCTCAGCTCTTGGACATAATTTTATTTTTGAAAATGCATTTTCGATTGGATTTAGCATTGGAGAATAAGGCGGTAAGAATTTAAGGTTGCATCTTTTGGATTCGATCAAATTTTTTATGTCATATCGCTTGTGTATTTGAGCGTTAATTTCCAAACCTGGATTGATTTTCTCAAAAAAAAATTTCTATAAATAATTTAAATCTGTCTGCATTGACACTGGAATTAGAAACAATTGTGTGATGTACAACTCCCGCGTTGTTTATTGCTGCAATTATAGTGACATTACGACCTCTGACCGTAGGCAACACAATGTGTGCTCTTGTTCCTTGTCTTGAACGGGCTTGGGTTCTTCGTATGTGAAGATTAAATCCACACTCATCAATGAATATAAATTTTTCTCCTTGTTGGGGTATCCATTTTGTAAAGTCTTGAGCATATTTTTGTCTCAAGCCTAATGTTCTGGAGTCATTCTTTCGTTCTATTTCAATAGAGGCCATCTTCAACGTAATTTTTAATTTCCGTAATCCATATTCTATGCAGCTTGTGGAAATATTTATATCATTTTCTCTCAACAGTTTAGTTTTTATGGCTTTGAGGGTAATTCCAGGTTGACTTTCTACATAGAACTCGATCAGACTTAAAACTTGTGGTGTCAACAACTTAGTTCTATTTCCTCCACGCTTATTTTCCTTCAATGTTCCAAAATGTTGTTTGTAATTACTTTACATTGTCGAGAGTTTACTGTTTAGGATGTTCACATTATCGAGAGTTCACTGTATTTAAAAATAGCAACGTTTAAAATAAATGCGAACCTGATTTTAACTTGGGAACCTGAGGAAGAATCAATATCCTCCCCAAGTATTGCAAGTGGAAATGCTCCAGAACCTACCGAAGCTACATCTACAAGACCCCGAAACAAATTGGGTCAGTATAACAAAATAACAAAAGACATGAAATTGTTATTATTTAAATTCTATGAAGAGGGGAGAACCATTTCCGAGGCTGCAAATTTAACCTGCATAAACATAAATTCCGAAAAAACATTTATAAGAAGATACAAACAATGTTCCAAATACCCGGTCCTAAATGCGAAATACATATTTGACTTAATAAATTGTTGATGATAAGGTAACTGCTTATCTTAATGAAGGGGTTCCCGACTTGCAGCTTGTGGGATTTTCAAAACCATGTCCATAACGTAGTTAGAACAATCTTGCCGAGTAAGCTTTTGAATACTTTGCTCGATTACATCAACAATGTTATGTTCCATTGAAACGTCACACAGCTCAGCTCTTGCACATAATTTTATTTTTGAAAATGCATTTTCGATTGGATTTAGCATTGGAGAATAAGGCGGTAAGAATTTAAGGTTGCATCTTTTGGATTCGATCAAATTTTTTATGTCATGTCGCTTGTGTATTTGAGCGTTATTTTCCAACTCTTTTCCAACTCCATTTCCGAGGCTGCAAATTTAACCTGCATAAACATAAATTCCGAAAAAACATTTGTAAGAAGATACAAACAAAATTTTGGAACATTGAAGGAAAATAAGCGTGGAGGAAATAGAACTAAGTTGTTGACACCACAAGTTTTAAGTCTGATCGAGTTCTATATAGAAAGTCAACCTGGAATTACCCTCAAAGCCATAAAAACTAAACTGTTGAGAGAAAATGATATAAATATTTCCGCAAGCTGCATAGAATATGGATTACGGAAATTAAAAATTACGTTTAAGATGGCCTCTATTGAAATAGAACGAAAGAATGACTCCAGAACATTAGGCTTGAGACAAAAATATGCTCAAGACTTTACAAAATGGATACCCCAACAAGGAGAAAAATTTATATTCATTGATGAGTGTGGATTTAATCTTCACATACGAAGAACCCAAGCCCGTTCAAGACA